GTCAGGATGAAATTTCCTGAATTTTCAAAAAACTGAAAATTTCCAGATAAAGATTCTGATGAATAGCATTTCAAAGGTTGTCTGAGGATGTCAAACAAACACAGAGGTCATGTTACTAATCTCAACTAGTCTCTAAACTAATCTCAACTAGTCTCTAAGGTAAATAAACGTGAATGGCCTCCTCCTCGAAGGAGAACACCACATTATGTAAGGTTTGAGCACAGAATGTTCCACAAGGAGAAACTCCAGGTAAGAAAGCACATGCACATCCTTCCCCCTTTCTCCTTCCTGGGGGTAACCTGCTTCGTTTTCACTGCCACCGTCTGCTCTTCTCTGCCTCTTGGTCTCAACTGTGGTTCATTTGGGTCAGAGAGTCAAGGGAGCTGAGGAATAAGAAACTCCATTCCTCTGATTCTGTTTTGCCAAGTGGGGTGGTTTACTCCATTCTCTGACTGCCCCCATCCTACAGCTGACTCATGTGCAGCATGAAGGGCACAGTATGGCCACAGCTAGACCTGAAAGAGGAGTTAGGTCAACCCTGACCGTGACTCTGCCCTGCTCAACACAGCTGGGGGGTGGGGGCTGGTTAGAGGTGTACCATCCTAACACTGAAGAAGGAACCATAAATATATGAACTGTAAATATATGGAGGTCAGTTTGAAAGATTCTAATTATGGATGAGTGTTTGGATTTCTCTACAGCTTTCTCAACATTTCATGTTGTGCTTAGAAACAAGGTTCTTTGTATGTATTATGCTTAGTAAAGAATTCGAGGGACTTTCCTGGTGGTCCGGTGGCTGGGACTCCAAGCTCCCACTGCAGGGAGGTGGGGGGAGGGCTTGGGTTGCATCCCTGATTGGGGAACTAGATCCCACATGCTGCTAAAAAAGGACCCTGAAAGAAAGGATCCTGCATGCTCCAACAAAAGATCCCACACGCCACAGTGAAGAATGGAAACCCCTGCGCCACAACTGGGATTCAGCAGAGCCAAATAAATAAACATTTTTTAAAAAAAGAATTCTACTTTACAGAGGTAATATACAGAAGTTTAAAGTTATGTATTATTCATTTTGATTTGCTTAGTCACATTTCTGAGAATCCTAGGTACTCTGGAGGTGACATCATTAGGGCAATGCATTCATAAGCCAAAGTGCCTCCAAGTGACAGCAAAGTCATGAAGCTTTTTGTTTCTAATAACAGGTCAGTTTTACAACCTGAATACCTCACTGTGATCTCAAATTGTTCAAACACATTTCAACATCTTTCCCAAAATAATTCTTCCCTTTCCTGAAAATCCATTGATAACAAAGCCACTTTCCGATAATCAGCTGGAAAATCTTGATACCTTACTTCCATTCATCCATATGCCCATTCATCCATCCTTTAGTCCATAGGTCTACCCATCTATTCATTGGTCCATCCATTAAGCTCTCTATCCAATTTTTTAAAAATTTTATTGAAGCACATTTTATTTACAATGTTAATTTCTGCTATACAGCACAGTAACTCAGATATACATATTATATATATATATTATTTTTCATATTCTTTTCCATTATGCTTCATCACTGGATGTTGAATATAGTTCCTTGTGCTATACAGTAGGACCTTGTTGTTGAAGGAAAGATTGGGAGTTTGGGATTAGTAAATGCAAACTATTTTATATAGAATGGATAAACAACAAGGTCCTCTATCTAATTTATGCTAACGAATAGCCTCCTGTCTTATAAGTATTCTCAATGTGTCTAATTAATCTGCCATCATATTACTCCTTTATTTAAAAAAATATTTTTCAAAACTAAAAAAAAATCTTTAAATAGCAAAAAACAAATTTTTATTATATAAATCCAAAAGCTTCAGCCAGGTTTTAAGACACTGCTCCACAAGTTCTTTCTAATCTTTCATCATATTTCTAATAACTTAATCTGCATGCTCTACCCATTATACTGTGCTCAAAATGAATCACTTTCATCACAGCATCCCACCTTCTACACATACTGCTGGTTGAACAATTATATTTCATTCCTATGCACTATGTACTAGAAATCAGAGGTTCAGAGGTGCAGCCCTGGCATTAACGAAGCCTGTATCTCTTTGGTACAGACACACATGCTATGCTATACACAGTGCAGGACTTAATGCTGCAATTTACATAGTACACGTGTGCGCCATAGACTTCAGGAGCACAGCAGACAAGCCAATTAGTTCTGAGCAGTTGTTCAGAAAGGTGCTACTGAGCAGTAAAGGATGAACAGGAATGTGATGCAAGAGAGAGGAAGAAGAGGGCATGACCCTAGTTTCCTCTGCAAAACTAAGTGGTGTCCATCTTCTGTTTCAGCCACTTCCCTGACACCATTTCCTCATCACTCCCAAGCGGCTGCTTGCCGCTGAAATTTCACAGCACTTGTGGTCTGATCCACTCAATTTAGAATTCACATCTCCTTGCTCAGATTCTTTTTCCCATTCTTCCCTTTTGTGTCATTAACAAACACAATATCCTTAGAAAATTCACTTCTGCTTCCTTGAGCTGTTTTCTACTTAGTGAAAGAAGAAACAATCTTAGATCATCTCTGAAGTCCCTGCCTTTAATAATTTATACAGAGTTTGAAACAGGAACAGGCTGTGTCTTAACTGGACTGCCCCCTCCTCAAAAGCAGAGATCATCTACAATTTTCTAAATGCCTTAAAGGAAAAGCTTATAAGAATTCAATTAATGCATTTTACATAGACTCTCATGATAAAATGTACCTGACATTAATTAGCATGTGGAGCTCAGGTGGCCAACATCATGGAGTCATTTACATTAATTAACTGCACTCTGTTCCATGGTCCCCAACCACACCCTCAACCCTAGTCAGGCTATGGAAAGACTATACCCAGAGAGGGAGTAAGATTCAGAGCAAACAACTTCACTCCCAAGAAACTTCTCAAGGCAGTTTTAGGATCACCATCATTACAACATGAAGATCATCATTCAGTAAGCCAAAAAAGCAGGATGTTAAAAATCTCTACTTAATAACATTTCTTTTCTCTATTCTCTACAATGTTAATACAGACTTTTAACAGAAGAATTATTATTAATTTTGGGGGGACTTCCCTGGCAGTCCAGTGGTTAAGACATTGCCTTCCAATGCAGGGGGCACGAGTTGGAGTGCTGGTCAGGGAGCTAAGATACCACATGCCTCATAGCCAAACAAAACAGAACATAAACAACAGAAGCGGTATCGTAACAAATTCAATATGCTCGGTCAGTCAGTCTTGTCCAGCTCTTTGCAACCTCGTGAACTGTAGCCCACCAGGCTCCTCTGTCCATGGAATTTTCCAGGCAAAAATCCTGGAGCGGGTTGCCATTTCCAACTCCAGGGGATCTTTCCAACCCAGGGATCAAACCCAAGTCTCCTGTGTTTCCTGCATTGGCAGGTGGGATTCTTTACCCCTGCACCACCTGGGAAGCCCCAACGAATTCAATATAGACTTTAAAAGTGGTTCACATCAAAAAAATTGTTTAAAAAGGAAAAGAATTTGGAGGTTTCCCTGATGGTCCAATGTTAAGAATCCACCTTGAAATGCTGGGGACACTGGTTTGATCCCTGGTCCGGGAAGATCCCACAAGTCACGGGGCAACTAACACCTGCCACAACTACTGAGCCTGCTCCCTAGAGCCCAGGCTGTACAAGAGAAGCCACTGCAATGAGAAGCTTGAAGCAACTAGAGGGTACCCCCCACGTGCTGCAACTAGAGAAAGCCAGCATGCAGCAATGAAGACCCAGCACAGCCAAAAATTAAATAAATACATAAACAAAAATTAATAAAAATAATTTTGAATAAAGGAAAGGGGGGATATTTCTTTAAATTAGAAGCTCCCATTAGAGAAGCTTTACTATCATTAATGTGATCTGGAAAATACCCATTAACTTTACTAATAAGAACAAGCATTATCTTGGGTCAATCTTAATTCTATGATTTCCCTACTTATATGAGGTGACTCAAGCAGTTTTAAATCTTTAAGTTGCTTAGCATGACACTTCAGGGAATCTTGTCTCAAAATGTAAAATGTGCACTTAATGGACACAGGAAATATCATCCAAACTCACGTGGAAGTCAGAGCAAAATCAGAACCCACAGAGGAGTATTGATAAGAAGCCTCAGAGAGTGGGACGAGAAATAGATGATGAGACAAAGACCTGGATTCTAGAATAATTTCTATCCTTTAAAGAGCTGTGTACATTAGATATGTTATTAAATTTTACTTTTCTAAGGCTATTTGTTATCCTCAAATGAGGTTGATATTAATCATTCTATAGAACTTGGGCAAAGACAAAATGAAACCTGTGAAAGGTGATATATTTTTGGTAGCCTTGGTGGTGTCTATTGTTCATGATTATCATGGATAATAAATCATCATTCTCTCTTCCCTCTGAAGACAGGGGGAAAAGTAGTTGAGTCTCAATTACAGTAGAAAGAAATACAGGTGGTGGCTTAGACGGTAAAGAATCTGCCTGCAATGCAGGAGACCCGGGTTCGATTCCTGGGTCAAGAAGATCCCCTGGAGAAGGGAACAGCAACCCACTCCAGTATTCTTGCCTGGAGAATTCCATGGGCAGAGAAGCCTAGTGGGCTATAGTCCATGGGGTTACAAAGAGTTGGACACGACTGAACTAACAAACACACACAAGCTCATGAAGGGCTTCCTAACTATAGGAGTTGAGAAAGCTGAAACACTGAGAGTTTGTAGCATGAACTTCCTTGAAAATCTGTAAGTAAAATATTAGCAGTTAGGTTTTTGACACCTTTAGTGAAGCTTGACGTGGAAGCAGAGGGATAAATCCTAGAAACTCGAGGTTTCGCCTGGCCCTGTCGAGTGTAAAGCTGTGCTTTACTGCAGAAACTGGCTGTCTTCCAATGCTAGGAGTTCCACAGTGCTATTTCATTTGGTGTCAGGAAATGTGTTTTCAAGAAAGTGTTGAAACTTCCAAGTGAAACTCATGAAAACCGACTTACCTGGTTGCCTCCACTCTTGGGGTTCACGAACACAAGCAAAGGTTTCATGAGCGGAGAAGAGATAGGTTTTATCACAAAAGGACGACCTTTGTTTTCCTGCTAAAGAAAGCAAGCAGCACTATTGAGACATACATCCACGACTTGAAAAGCAGCCCCAAAGCAATGAAAGTGAGACATTTCCAGAACCAGTGCCATCCCCCACCTCACCCCCCAAAATCAAAATATCCCCCAAAATATACTGTATCTTGTTTCACAGGGCTCACTCAACGTGAGAAAGTGTCTCAAGCTATAACTTGCCCCCAAGAATTTAGCCATGATTTGTTTATATTCTATAGGCTTGAAGTGCTCTAGATATATTCTAGCTCTCATCTTCATCTTTATCATCTTTGGGATAATACTTCCACAGACAAGAGCAAACGCTCTGACTCTCAAGTAGCAAGAGGTTTTATGTATATATTTTAAAGGAACAGGCAGAATCCCAGTGTGGTTAGGGTATGATGAAGGAGAGTGGCGGGAGATCCATCAGAAAAAGGAGCTCGGGCCAGGTCGAGTCAGACGGAGGAGACAGTGAAGAGGAAGGTGGATTTCCATGGACCATCACCCTCAAGTGCTTACTTCGGTTCCTCTTTTGCTGGCTTTTCTTTTAAAGCTTGTTCTCTTCTTCTTCCGATTGGACGCCTTCAGGGAGTTCTGTAGGGAAAGAAGGGACCCCTGAGCCGCGAGGCCGCCGGCCCGCGAGCACGCCCATGCAGGACCATGGAGGAGGTGACGGCGGCACATGCTGATCGGCAGGGCATGCTTCTCATGCTATGACACTCCCAAGCCACTGCTCATGGGGAAGCCACACACAGAACCCAGTCGAGTGCTTCAGAGCGAGCGACTGACTCCCCACCCCACGGAGAGGCAGGGAGTTAGAACCCTGGAGGCTCTCATGGACTCACATAACAACACATGTTATACCTGCCAACCCTCCCAGTAAAAATGGAAGAATCCCAAATTCTCTGAGGGGCTCCAGTCTCCCGCCCAACCAGGTCCGTCTCCCGCCCAACCAAGTTCAAGAAGTTCATCTCCTGGTATGGAGATCACCTATGTGGAAATGTAAAAAAGGAGGCCATTTTTCACGTTTTTCTTTTTGCTTTTTTTCTTTTTTCCCCCTCTGTTTACTTTTTATAGATGACCTGTTCATATAAAATGACTCAACCCCACTGAAATGTTATGATCCACGTCTTCTATCAGCATTCATGGCTTGGTTTTAAAAATGCGAAGAGTCAAGTTACTTATGATAGAGAGTGGCAGTCACTGCTCTTCCTTTTTCTGGCTAAGGACCCATTAGTTTAAAGAAGTCCTCCCTCCCTTGGCAACCTTGATCTTTTTCCTCTCACAGAAGCGTATCCAACTTGAAACACAGGGACCCCAAATTTACTTTCCCTGTCTTTCTCTTTCTAGGGAACGCATGGACCACAACTCTGATTATTTCAGCTATTTACTCTTAATATTTGATACAGATGCTTTGAGAAGAACCTCTTTCTGGGAACAGTCACAGCTCCCTGGCTGAAGGCAAGGCAAAATCAGATTTAATTAGTGGAGAGTCAATAATTAATTAGATGGCCATTTTCATAAAGGCAAGCTATTCCTACCATGACATAGATGTTTTACAAAGTGCTGAAAGCCTGAAATACAAAATTTTTAACTTAAAAGTTTACATAAGTATGGACACATGTATTGTTTGAGCAATTAAATGTTTTCAAACAGCTTGAAGAAACTTAGATATCTATTTTTCAACACTGTATTTTTTCTTAGAGCATTCAAAATAAATCTTTTAGTCTAGAGTACATATATTAACACATCTAAGTTAGTAAGACTGAAACTATTTAGCTTTTATTTTACTTGCATTGGACCAAGGGAAAATAAAAAGTTGATTTGTGGCCTGTGCTCACCAAGGATGAAGGAAACTTTCTTGAACCACCATTTGTCCCAAGGTTTTCTTCCCCCATCAGATTAAAAGAGTCTTCAGGTTCTCTGAATCTCACCAGAAAAGAAATCCAGAAGTTCATGGGTGTTCGTGATGCCAGGTGATCTCTCATCACTCACTCTAGACTATATTTCTCCTGCAAACAGATCTCCAAGTTTCCAAATTCCTCTTTAAATGGATCTATTATCATGTCCCTCTTTGGGAAACTTCTACATTCTTTGAGTATTTGCCATATTTTGATTACTTCCAATTTTATTAAAAGGGAAGAACAATTACTCGGAACTTTTAAATGCTTAATCAGTTGAATAATCCAAGTAGAGTGCTGAAAACTATTAGACTGGCAGAAGCAATATCTATTACTTATGGCAATTCATGATGCTTTGTGTGTTGGTACCTGGGCCCCAGCAAATATTCTTATTTAATTTGTTTAGGGTGAAGCCCAGGCAAAGATACTTTTTAAAAGCTCCCCAGAATATAATATATTATGACAGGGTGGAATAGAATAAAAATAATAAAAGCTCCTGGGGAATTCTAGTGTAGCCGGAATTGAGAACCTCTGTCTGAAGTACAAAAGGTAGAACAAGGAGCTGTATGTACTGCATATAGTAAAGCCAATCACTGGGGTGAGAAGCGTGAGGTGTGGAATTTGACAGACCGAATTCTGAACCTCCCTGTTACTAGCTCCATAACCCTGGCCAAGTCAAACTTTTGAAATAACGGTTTCTTAATTTTCAAATGAAGGTGATAATACCTACCTCACAGGACAGTTGTGGAGTTTAAATGAAAAAAAAAATGTATGTAAAGTAATTAACCTGGTATCCATCCCATGAGAAACACTTTGATCAATGTTATCAGTTGCCTCTTGATGGCTCTATATCCCCAGCACAAATGCCTGGCACACAGTATGCACTCACATCATTGTGGAAATAATAAATCAGTATTTTTATAATTCACAATATTGACTGAGTCTTCCCTGATTTCAAAAAGGGTCCTTAGGAAGTGAGTGACTGTTTCCTAATTTCTTTCATTTTCGTTCATTTAGTGCCAAGAGCAATGCGAGGCAGCACTTATAGCAACACATTATGGGTCAATAATTAAACTCCAAGAGATAGGTCACATGAATCAAGTTGAGAGACTGTTTCCTCAACTTGCTTGATCACAGAAATCACAGTTCCTCAGGTGATCCTGCTGATCAAGTATGTTTGAGAAGAGGGTTAGAAAAACATACCAAAATAAGGCTGTATGTCTGAAAAAGGAGCAGGCAGGAGACTCAGCTCTCATAGGGAACAGACAGACAAAAATGGCCTTTGTTTTAAACATAGATGCAAATGCTTCCAAACCTCACCAAGCCACACGCACCTGAGGCCTTCAGCTCACAGAACAAGAGGGGGGCAAGCTCAAGCACAATGGTGGACGTACAGTACCTGGACGCTTGTACGTGAGCTCTGATAAGCTTACCTCCCTATGGGTGGTCAAAGAGCAAACGATAAGCATTATGGAACTTCAACCTCCAAATCCCCAGGCTTCAGTCTCTCCTTGTGTTAACATGTATCTCTGTCTCAGTACATCACTTCTTTTAGAAGGCAGCTTAATTCAGTGAGGAACAGATGGATGCGAAGGCAGATTCAGGCTGTTTTGGCCAAGACAGGTTTTCAAGCCTTGCTAATCCACAATATCACTTACTCTGCCTGGTCAGTCTTGTGAGAGTTAAATAAACATGGTTCCCAAGAATGAAAAAATTATACCGAGACGTTATTGTCTAGAATTGTTGACAATATACAGCTAAGAAACCTTTAATACTTTTCCTGGGTTCTAAAACAAAGCATCGCTGTTATCAAAAGCAGCTAACTCAGTGGTGCAAAGGGTTCGCTCTACAAGTTCAACTGTCCAAACAGCGAAACACAGTGCTCTTGTCTGGATTTTTACATTCTTCTGATTCCAACAGCATTCACCCCTGTTCATTCTGTGCCCACTCTTGTGAAATTCCTAAGAAAAGATAAGGGATTTTTGTTTTCTTGTCCCAGGTATTGTGGCACAGGATTACCTTGCCACAAAAATACAAAAATAATCCTATCAACACAACCTTTATCACAGTTATGACGCCTTCCTGGGCTGTTATGAAACCCTATGGGTGAATCACTCCACTGTGAATGAAACCCAACTTATTACCCTTATTAACTCTTGGGATTTCCTCAGGTGACAGGATCACAAAGGATCAATTATAATAACACATCTAAAGAGACGATATCTCACTTCATCATCCCAGATGAAACCTTCCTCCATTCACACGCTGGACAAAACTCTGATGAATAACAAGAGGGCGCTCCGTGGACTGTGTCTATGAAAGGATATTCTCACTCTGCCCTGATCCAGCTTTAGCACTGTAGCAATGGTTGTTGTAAGGACAGGCAAGCAGAAGAATCAAGAAAACTTACTACAAAAGTTAAGGACAGGGTCTCAGCAGCTTCTCAGGCATATTTGGCCAAATCACAGCAACTTGTTTCACACAGCAAGTGTGATATCTAGAACTGACCAAAGGAAGTCTTTGGCATTGGGCATTGAGGGAGATTGTTGGTCATTGCTATTACATACCATGGGATCCCTAGCATTTTAAGATAATCCAATCATAAGGAATAAGGACTAGCATGGAGAAAGCCCATAAAGGCTAGGCAGGAGTTGATTGTGATGTTTTTATAAACAGACCATTAGAAATAATATAGAAATCCACTGGGAGGGAATGGGCTTAAATCAACTATAAAATATTCATAGCAGTTTAAAAGGAATCAAATATATATGTATTAACATAGATTTTTTTCCCTATGATTTTTCAAATAGAAAAGCCAAATTTTAAAGCATTAAGTAGAGAATAATGTTATTTATTTAAAACACACACCTCTAAGGTCTCCCCACAAATGTGACCTCACAAAAAGTTCATGTTGCATGAGTTTTGCTCCATCAGCTCCAAGTGCCTGCACTAGTATTTGAATATCTTTAACTCATTCATCCAAAGGATTATCCTCTAACATTTTCAGTCCAGAGGACAAACATTGGCGTTTGTAACTTCAAATATAACCTGGACTTTATATTAACTGATTGAGGCTTGGTCACTAAAATTTGGTTGTTTTTTGTTTTTTTTTTCATTTTAACTCCTTTCAGTTATCTACCTTCCATCAACTTTTCACTTCCAGGTCTCTCCAAGTAATTTGGTGATGAAACCCAGCAAATCATCTAGCAAGCTTTCACACAGAGACCAACTCTACAGCTGGTCACAGAGTCATTATCCGCTCAGAACCTGCTGTCTTTCCACAGAGAACGAAAATATACGGTTTAATTCCACCTCTTTACAGCCCACTTTTTCAGACCATAATAAACCTTGGTAAATTTCCTTTACTCTTCTTCTTTAGAGCCATTTATTTAGACACAAACATCACAAATAAAGCTGACTTTATTTCATGACCCATCTTCACTGCTGTTCTCAGTTAGATCCTATTGGCTCGCATCACCCTTCCTCATCCCTCTTGCCAGGGATGTGGCCCACATCCTTCAAGACCAAGCACAAAGAGAAGATTTTCCACTGAACCTAGGCTGTTCTCCATGACTAAGGCAGCTCAATTCTGCTTCATGTCTCCACCATGTTTCCACATCTTAGGTGGCATTTACCCCTTTGTGCCTTAGATGTATATACATCTCAATGACCAGGGCTGATGGAACCCAACTCCCTGGCCCCTTCCTTTCACCCCCATATGTGTATCTTTCCCATGAGATGCACACCAGTCAAATAGATATCCCTTCCCAGACATCTGAAAACTACTCTTTCAGTGGGTTAGACAAAAAACTCATTTGTGTTTTTCCGTAAGATGTTGGGGAAAAAACTTGAACGAATTTTTTGGCCAACCCAATATGAAGGATTTACTTGTGGCTGAATTCCTCTCCAGAATCAAATTCACGAGGACTCCAACTAATGATTTAGACTGTTGTGTCTATTTTCCTCCCTGGGAAGTACACTCTTTGTGGACATCAAATGAACATCTGAGTCATCTTTGGACCGCCTGCTGTAGATAACAGCATCTTTGAATGTGGTTAATTAAGCATTTATTTAATTCAATTAAGGCTCTTCTCCTTTATCATTGTTAAGCAGTGTCATAGAAAAACAGGTAGGTGGGTGCTTGTGCTCAGTTGGGTCTGCCTCTTTGCAACCCTTTGGACTGCAGCCCACCAGGCTCCTCTGTCTATGGGATTTTTCAGGCAAGAATACTGGAGTGGGTTGCCATTTCCTTCTCCAGGGGATCGTCCTGACCCAGGGCTCAAACCCGTGTCTCCTGCAGCTCCTGTATTGCAGGCAGATTCTTCACCTGCTGAGCTATCAGGGAAGCCCCAATGGAAAAACATAGAAACATATGGTACAGGCAGAGAGATACATAAACATAAATGCTCAAAAGGCATTTTACCTGCTGTTTTCCATCAACCTTTCAAATTTTCCTTTTTTAAAAAAAATTTCCCACCCAATGTCTCCAAACAAATTCTCTAATCTTATTGCTTCCACACCATTTGTAACAGGTTGCCACCTATGCCCCATACTCTACAAATTATGGCTTTGACTTATCAATGATCTGGTTCCAAACACAAGGACTTTTCTCAACCCTTACTATTTTTTTCATGTCTACAGAATTGAACATTGATGACTGCCCTATTTTTCTTTTCATTTTTTAATACTGAAACTTCATGCTATCTTAGTTCTCTGTCTAGCAACATTCTCCTCCTCCTCCTTCCATTTTCTAGGTGTAGATGTTCCCCCTGTCGTCTTCTTTTATTTAGCAAATGAGCAGGTCTTGACTGTCTCCCCTGGGATAGGGATTGGGTTAGTGAATATACAATCCCACTCCGGTGTGGGTGTGAAATACAACAGCTACAGTAATAGTTCTAGGTGTACTTGGAAACTCTGTGGATACCAGGCTATGGCCCCTACGCCTGTCTCTTTTTACCCCCTGCACTGGGTCTCTCTCTCACCCTCCTGACACCTGCTTCCACTGTAACACAGAAGGGTCAGGGATCAGCAGCTTCTATCCTGACCCCGGATGGCTGTCCTGCGGTCATCTGTTGTTGCACAGCTTCACCTGACACCGTGTGCTCCTAAAAGTCGGCAAGAAGGAAAACAGCAAGAGCTAAAATCTGAGTGGTTACAATGAGCCAGGTACTGTTCTGTGTGTGTTATTTTACGTGTTTTAGCTCACTAGTCCTCAAAAAACTCTATGAAATAGGTACGAGTGTTATTTGCCCTTTACGGAGGAGAAACTGAAGTAGAAGAGATTAAGTTGAGATGAAACAAGTCATCAAGTGGCAGAGCAAAGTTATAAGTCCAGGCCGCCTGGTTTGCAAACCAGACCTTTTCAGCACTACCCTGCTGCCACTCTGCCCCCTCAGGCTCATTATGCGCCACCTTTTATACAGAACTTAGTTAACTAGTTAAATTACTTGATGACTTTGGGACCCAGGGGAGAAGGGGCCACCACAATTTTTAAAGTTATCTAATTCATCAAGGCTGGTTTTAGCACCATGGTAAAGTAGCATGATATATCATTAAGAGCTTGGGTTTCAGAATCACAATTTGTGGGTTCAAATGCATCTCACACCAATGATTGTATAGCCCCAGCTAATTTGTTTGACTTTTCTATTCCTCACTTTCCACAGCTGCAAAGTGGGACTAATAAGAGCACTGTGACAATGAGTTACTGAATATATAGTACTTAAAATATGTGACACATGTAAAGCGGTCAATAAATGTTAGCTTTCATTCTTATTATTACAATGTCTTGAATCATAGATGGGAATAAAAAGGTGGATTATTAAAAAAATTTTGGACTTTAGCATCCTGACTATGAACTACTTTCCAAAAAATAATTCCCACCAATCAGCTACCTAATAAAAGTTGCTAAGATACCAACTTATTATTATGAAAATTTACAAATGAAGGCAAACACAAAAGCATCTGTTATGTATTATATTTGCTAGTAATAATGTCAAGCTCTCTTTATAGAAAAACTGTAGCTAAAAAATGAAGAGTAAAAATTGGAAAATCACCCTTTAACAAAACCTAATGAAATAAAAAAGTTAGGCAATAACCTGTAATGGACAAATTTATAACAAATGGATCAGGATGACAGTTCCTGAATCCTAACACCACTAACAGTGAACAGTCTGGTATTATGTTCCATTAAAAGCAACACTACAGAAAAAGACACCATAACAGCCCTTTTGCCAAGAAATTAAACCTGAATCTGAGTCCTTACATCTAAATATTTTTATAAGAAATATGGGCCATGATTTTAAATGATGATGTAAATGATTTAAAAACACAATAAGGACATGATCAGTCAAAATTAAAATATGAGCTATGCTATAGGTAAAGTCACTCTATTTATTCAATAAATAGACGGCAAAAAAAAATAAGAGAGGAGAGTGCTATAGATTAAAAAGGATTTAAGAGATCAGTCAACAAAAAGGAAGTGGCAGACTTTGGATCTTAGTTTGAAAAATGGCTGTATTAAAAAATATATTTGAAACAATCAGAAAATATTTTAAGGATATGACCTCAAATTAATTAATTTTGATGGGTGAAGTAATGGTATGGAATTGTCTTTCTGAAGTATTATCTTTCTGGGAAACAAAAGGAAGCATTTATATATTAAATGGTATGCTAAACTTTGCTTTAAAATACCCTAGCAAAAGGGAAAAAGGAAGACTTGCACTTTCAAGAAGACAGAGTAAATGGCGTGGGGCCAGAAGAAACATGAATGTGGCAATGAAAAGGTAACATAAGGATACCTATGGTAATGGAATTGCTCTGTGTCTTCACTGATATTGATCAGTGTCAACATCCAGGTTATGATGTTATACTCTGATACTCCAAGATGGTACCATGAGAAGAAAATTTGTAATGGATACATGGGTTCCTTCTGTGTTGTTTCTTACAACTGTATGGGAATCTCAAAACAAATTTAATTATGAAAAGAAAAATATGGCCTGGCAAGGGACAGATGAAACAACAGCAGCAGCAGCAATGTTCATGGTTATAGAATTCAGTATGATCATCTCTTTCTCTTCACTTGTTTGAAAATTTCCATAACCCAAAGATCTTTTAAAGTCTACAAAAGTAAACTTAGAGTCTCTCTGCAGAGTGGTAGTGTCTTCTGGCTTTCCTGTTTTATCTTCAGTCATCCAAAATCCCATACCACTAGGTCATCCTACATACTCCTGCTAGTTGTTTCCTAAAAGGAAACAATTATATTAAAAAATATACATATATATATATAAATAATTTTACTTAATCATTCCTTTGTTAAAAGGATAAAGTTTACATGGAGCAAAAACCTCCTCTGAGTCAGAACTGAATAATCTTATGCTCGTCCCTTTTACTCGCCCCCTACATAAACCTTCCTCTGCAGTCAACTTAGTCTCACAGCCCCATGGATATAATTTTGGACAAAGTATACTTCCATTCTCCTACATGTTATTTTCTTCTCCACTGATCTAAATCCTATCCATCTTTAAGTAGGCAGAGTAAAACCCACCTGCTTCATGAAGCCCTCCCTGATCTTTCCTTAAAGTAATTACACGGTTCTTCAGAGCAAAGATCATGTATTACATCACAGTGCTTAGTAGCCTTCTTGATACTATCAGGGTTTTTGATGAAAACATGTTGATTTAACTGAATATTTACTAGGAAACAATTGGAGAGAGTACTGAATTTTAGGGGGAAACACACATACAAAAGAGCTTCTTGGTGGCTCAGACCTAAAGAATCAGCCTGCAATGCAGAAAGTACAAGGAGGCTTGAATACAGAATGAGATTAGCTGTTAAGAGGATAAATTCTACTTTGCCTTAAGGAAAGAGTGTTGCTCGCTAAGCAGGCCTCGTGTACTGGGGAAGGTCATGACCCACAGTCTGCGTTGGGGTTGGAAGTGGTGGAAACCGCAACCCAACACTGAAGCCTGCACCATCGTGTGCCCTCACAGTCACTCCCTGGGGTTGCCCAGGCTGCAAAAGAAGAGAGTCAGGTAAGAATCAGCTGCACGCACCCCTCACCAGGGGCTTTAAGGAACTCTGCAGAGCCCCCGGGCAGAGAGAATACATATTAGCATCTGAATGGGGAGCGAGCACTCCTGCTGTGAAACTGATTTCTTTAGGAAGAGACTGGTTCCATGAGAGAGCCCAACAGCAGTAGGGGATGGGCTAACGGGATGAACTGGGGAGCTAGGCAAGGCCCTGTGGGGAGGAGTGAGCAGAGATCGGAGGAACCCAGAGCCTCGTCATGGGGGAGAAAAGCAGGAAGCAGCAGTTCCTTTTTCTCTGAGCTGGCCCAGCAGCACCAGGGTCCCGGCAGTTACCTGAGGTTTCTTCACCTTAATGATCCAGGTGGGCGGAACAATAACAGCAGCGTGCGCCCCCAGGGAGCAGGGTTCCTCAATCTGATGCAGCATGAAGCAGGTCACTTTATTGTGAAACTGAAGGGGAAAACAGGCCAGTAAACAATTCTGCACAGAGGGAAATGCCACCGCAAGAAGGAACAAGTACATGTGTGCATACTTATGCACATGCTTGTGCACACACACACACAGAGGTCCCATGCTCCTCATCACTCCCAACCAGCCCCAGAAACTTAAGAGACCAGATTTCAAATGCATTCTACTTTATAAACTGATAACAAGAACTCAGCTTATAGGACAGACCAGCTGAAACTTGATAACCTTTTATAGGATATTTACATTAAAAGTGTTTGAGACTTGGCGGGTTCTAGAAAGGCTAACTTTGCACATAATTTTGTCTCACTTGGCTTGCACCCATCACAGACTTGGCTAATCTGGGATAATGGTGAGAAGGAAATGAAGACAAGCAGAGTGGCATGTCTACTATCTGCCTCTCGTTTTTCTATCCTTAGACATCAATCCTTCCCAGTAGTCCCTGCAGTGTAAGGGACCCAGGGGAAAAAAATTGTCTCTTCCAGAGAGTTGTTAGAGAGGAAACAAAAAGACTGCTTCTGCTGGGTTTGTCCAGGGCTGCTGTAAAAATAATGGTCCTAGCACACTTGGCAAATCTAAAGTGCTTTTGATTTTTGAAAGGAAGGAAGTCAATATAGACTAATGATAATAACAATACCTAGGTTCCAGGGGCTTAACTCTATACCCCAATGGACTGAGTAACCTTAGAACAATCATATTTCCAGCAATTTTTTTTTCTTTTTTGTGACTGTAAAGTGATAATAATGTGTGGTAGCATTTGTTTTCTAATAAACATCAAATCCCCATTATACAATTATGGGCTTTAAAATTTTAATCATAGTGATTAAAAAAAAAAAATTTAACAGTAGCTGCTGCTTAGATTATACTTAATGTGACCACATAATTTATCATCTTAACTGAAACAATTTTAAGAATGAGAGGGAGCAGAGACAATAATTAGGTTGGAACAGCAGACATAAATTAGGACTGTCTCAGGAAAACTGGCAAATACAGCCATCCCAATTACATCTCATCAGGGCAATTTTATCTTTACCGCCAAGTATCTTCAAGATCTGACATGATCCAGTGGCAAATTACTAAATCAATTAAGCATGAAATACTAATTAATAAGATAATAAATAATTCCTCCTAAACTGTTTGTGATTTGCAAACAATTTGATATACCAGAGAAATGTTATTCGAATTCCTTCTTTAAAAAGTAATTTTCTCTCAAATCATCCCATCTTCTCCTTTCTCCCACTGAGCCCCAAATTCTGTTCTTTATGTCTGTGTCTCCTTTGCTGCCTTGCATGTAGGATTGTTGGCAACACAATATTGCAAAGGAATTATCCTCCAATTAAAATAAATTTTAAAAAATAATTTTAATAATTCAAATAAACCCCCATATGAATAGCCATTGCATTTCTAACATGGCAGGAATCTCAGAGACTGCCAACTCCAACTCTCACAGTTTACACCTGACTACTCTAGACAGACTAAGAGGTGTATCTAAAACTGCATGACTTTTAAGGGGTAGAGTCAGGACCCGAATACATGAAACTCAGCTCCCAAATAACAGTTTTATTTTCTGCTACAGGAAGTGCCCACAGAAGGCACTTAATTGTTTGACATCAGATATCCTAGAAGGAATTACCTACAGTGTTAAAATACACCACCACCATAATCTGTCTTAAAGGTTTTGTATTTTTAGTCCTTGAAAAATCAACTTCTACTACGTGAGGCCCTGGGAAACTCAGCGATACATGTGCTGTGATTAGTCGCTCAGTTGTGTCCAACTTTGTAACCCCATGGACTGTAGCCCACCAGGTTTTTGTCCATGGGGATTTTCTAGGCAAGAATACTGGAGTGGGTTGCCATGCCCTCCTCCAGAGGATCTTCCCAGGTCTTCCCAGGGGTCAAACCCAGGTCTCCTGCATTACAGGTGGATTCTTTACCAATGGAGCCACCAGAGAAGCCCCCAAAGAATCATAGAACTGATCAAAACTCTGCCACAAGGGTCAAATGAAAGTTTTTTTTAGTGATTCGATTGGCCTACAGATTCATGAAAAGAAAGCACATGCGTTCACTGTCAGGCAGGACAGTTTCCACATTAAATGACCTGGGATCAACCATCTAACCACAACCTGGAAGCCATGGGGTAGCAGCAAGTGCAGCCTATCTAAGGCCAGGTTGATGCCACCTGGCAAGTGTCGTCTCACCAGATCAGGGAAACAACAAACATAGACAGTGTTGGAGACCCCGAGGGCCTAAATCTGCTTCTTCCTTTCCAAGCAAAGGCACTTCTTGATGGCCAGTTGTAACTGCGCAACTGGCATTTGCACAGTTCCTTGAATGAAAGGAAACATGTTCCTTTATATTTGTGAACATGTTCTTGAAGAGAAGCACAAAGACTACTTGTAAAACAATTAACTGAAAGGAGATAGAAATGCCAAAACCAAAAATGTGCCAGGAGGGTGATGCAGCAAACATTGAACTTTCCAGACCAAGATATCAGCAGATCCTCCTGACACGTGGGGGCTAGTGAAATTATGCCAGAGAAATTATTAGATTGAATCTGATGGAACTGCAAAGATGCAAAAGTTTTTCACCCACAAAAAAAGCCAATTTCATGTGTTTCAAGTAAATGCATCTTCCACTCCTACCTTGTGGCTCTGTTTAGCTAGATAAAGTTGACATGTGTAGTGCATATGTTAAGCTGCTTCAGTCAATCATGTCTGACTCATTGTGAACCCATGGACTGTAGCCCACCAGGCTCCTCTGCCCGTGGGATTCTCCAGGCAAGAATACTGGAGTGGGTTGCCATTCCCTTCTCCAGGGGATCTATCTGACCAATGCAACCCATGTCTCTTGTGTTGGCAGGCAGATTCTTCACTCCAAGCCACCTGGAAGTCTGAAGTTTATCTGCACAGCCTTAGCCCTTAAGCTTAAACAGCACAGCCCTTTATTCCCGGGTTCGCTGTGCAGTGAGGGGACAATATATACCAATTACATAGTAATTTAAAAGAACCAGTGAACTGAGAGATTAGAGCAGGGGTCCAGACTGTTTCTATAATAGGACTGGATAGTAAATATTTTAGTCTTATGGGGCCATATTGTTTCTGCTGCATTATTCAACTCTGCTGCTGGAGCAAAAAAGTAGCCAGAGACAACACATAAAGGATGGGCATGGCTGCGTTTCAATAAAACTTTAGTTACAAAAACAGGCAGCAGTCAGATTTGGTTTACAAGCCACAGTTTGCCAACTTGTGAGTCAGTCTACATTGTCTAGCTAAAGAAAAAAAAATAGGTTCAAAGACCAAAAAAAAAAGAACCATCTGGTTGGGACAGAGCTGTTAAAAAATGAAAAAAAGAGAAGAGAGGAAAAGTAAAAAGGGAAATTATCATTGGATCCATAAGAGTATCCATGTTCAAATGTAAGAAAGAGTAACGTTTCAATGAGCATACAGCCAACTATAACAACATCCAAAGCTAAGGAAGAATATAAGCCCACTCTAATCCTACCACTGTCCCATTAAGAAAAAAAATTCACCCACATCAAAAACAGAAGAACAAAGATGTCTGAATTGCTTTGTCAGAGGGATTACCCAAGGTTGCCACTTCCTCGTATACAAGTCATCATCGATAACCTAGTGTACTATGGGGCAAGTGGCCTCGGAGTGAAAATCCCTCAATGCTAGACTCGGAGATAGAATCAGGAGGGGATTTTCCAACCTGCAATTCCAGGCTTCAATGTATATAAATAAAGGGGTTAATTTCTAGTTTCTCGAAGCTCATTTATCCTATGGTTTTATAGTTCTAATGTGTCTTTCTTCCTCCACAGATCCTATGAGGGAAATAATACATAAATTAGGATAATGTTCCACTTACAAACAAGAACTCCAGCAATGACATAATTCTATTTTGAGAAAACAGGAGCCTGCTTTGTTTTATTTTATCCCCAAACGTACCGCCTGCTTGCACCAGGAACAGCTGATAGCCACAATCTCTTTACTGTGGAAGGAGAATTTTTGCTGGAAGCCCTAGAAGATTAGAACAAGAGAGAGAAATTAAAACCACTTCCAACCGAGCATGCATCTGCCCTTCTGAAGTCCAATGAAGTCAGTAAGGCCAGGCTTAAGGGAACTGAGACAGCAAATGCCACAGTGGGCACTTATATCTCCACCTTCTACCACCTTTCCTATCACCAAATTCTCTAAAGTGTGAGAGAGGAGGTACCAGTATTTGCTTTACCACTAACACTCAAAGTCAACCACAAAAACATTTTTTTTTCTTTGACCTCACTGTGTGGAATGGGGGATCTTAGTTCCCTGACCAGGGATTGAACCTGCGCCCCCTGCATCAGAAGGCAGAGTCTTAACCACTGGGCTGCCGGGGAAGTCCCAAAATCATTGCCCCCCCCCCCTCCGCCAAGTAAATGAGGTTCTGATGCATTTTTAAGTTAAAAAGAAGCCTCTATTGGTTCACATGATTTTTTTCTAACAGTGGTTATCCATCTCAGAGGTCCTGCACAACCTTACCATCAAGAAGCCACAAAGACAGAGATGAAGCAGGAGACAGTCAGGTGACCTAGAAGTGAGAGTCTGGGAGACATCCAAGGGTGGAGAAGGAAATTCAAACACTCTCATCACCCCCTTGGGATGTCAGAACTCAAAACAAGCAGCTTTCAATTTCCATTTTTTGCCAGCAAATAGCAATGAGATTAATGGAATGGCAAACACAATCCTCTTAATGAACAAACAGAATTACTTTTCCATCAAGGAAAGAAGAGATGCTTTTTGGCCACTGTTGTCCCTAAATAATTACCAGAGAGAAGTACGCAGTAACTCTCAAGGAAATTTTTTTTAGCTTTCCCAAAGCTCACCCATTTCTATCTGCCTGTGAAATCTAAGCCAAACAAACTAATGCAGACTAATGACCAAAAACTCTTAAAGCTTTTTGTTTTAAAAAAGCAAACAGAAAGATGTGATGGACAGGAAAGCTTTAAAGGCAATGAGCTGCATGTCTTTCTTAATGTGTACAGATAACTTTGAGTTTAAAGAAAGTCAATTTACACATTATTAAAATAAGTCCGAGCGGCATTTTTGCAGTCCCCGTACCTGTAATTCCTCCCTGTCTGCAGTATTTTATATACTAATGAACATTTCCTCCTTTGTGGTACTCTGCCTCTCCTGATTTCCTAAAACACATCCCAATTCTCCTTCCTCTCCATCTCCTGCACGTGGACAAGAGACTGGGACCAGGGTCAAACCTTGGGGCTCTGCAATTCCACCTTGAATCCTTGTCTTTTTTGTCCAACCTCAAATCTCACTTCAAGAAACATGACCTCTTCTTAACATCGGACTTTCCTGGATTCCAAAAAGTTTCTCCATCAATATCCCTTTCTCAACAACTTAAGTGATTATAGAATCGCTCAGTGCAGAGGCATTCACAAAATAAGCATGAGTCTGCTATCCTCACAAAAGCCTGCTTGCTATGTGGGTCCTTGGCTGGCATTAGGGAACCTGAATTTCAGGAGGGGTTCGCCAGTTTCCAGAACAGTTGAGGGTGGCTCACTGTGCCTGAATTGTTGGTACAAACACCCTGGTGTATGAATACCTGCTTTCCTTCTGGGAGTCTGGAGGCTGGGTCTGTGCTGGGCAGGGGGTGATTATGTCATCAGGCCCCCAAGAAAAGCCTGACCACCAAGTCTCAGATTAGACCCAGGAGACAGTATTTCACACAAGTTGTCACAATCTGTGTTGGAAAAATTAAGCGGGTCCTTTGCAAATGTCAGAAGACTTCTGGTGCTTTATACGTGGTTTCCACAGGACCTTATCCCATGTTCCTTTCCTCTGTTAACTCTGCTCTGGAGCTGTTTGTTATAATAAATCACAGCTGTGAGCAATATTTCCCACTTAGCTCAGTTGGTAAAGAATCCGCCTGCAATGCAGGAGACCCCGTTTTGATTCCTGGGTCCGGAAGATTGGCTGGAGAAGGGATAGGCTACCCATTTCAGTATTCTTGGGCTTCCCTGTGGCTCAGCTGGTAAAGAATCCACCCGCAATGTGGGAGACCTGGGTTTGATCCCTGGGTTGGGAAGATTTCCTGGAGAAGGGAATATACTCTAAGCCCAATGAGCCCTCCTAGTGAATAACTGAAACTGGTCACCAAACCTACTCATCCCCCCCCACCCCCACAAACAATGAGCCCTGATATTTTCATTGACAGAGGCGACAGAGCATTTCCCCAGGAAAGGATGCACTTCTGTAAAACAAACATGGACAGAATTATTAGGACAGGTTGGCATCCACAGGTTTACTGCTGTACTGGTCAGCCACGACCCACACAGTCCCTGGCACCTGAGTGTTATTACTGCCTAACAGAAATAGTTTATGTGCATGTATATTCTAAAGTGGAATTATAAGTTCTCTGGGAGAAGTCTTATAATATTTCTTAATAAATCTCTACAACTTAGCAAAGGCATGGCAAGAATATTTTCTGATTACTTGAACAAGAAAGTCACTGCTACCACACTGTGACCCAACTACAAAGTTCACACTATCCAGATTTTAAAACCCTAACCCAAAACACCTGAAAATATGCCCCTCCTCACTAAACTCTCCTCCAATGGCTACTTAACCCTTCTGTCTTTTTCCTTCATCCATCTGGAAGTGGTCATAAAAATACAAACCTCTCCAACACCACTGAGTAGTTATAAGCATCCAATAAAGCAATGCATTTGAAAAGTCCTTTATAACACAGTATACAGAAGAAGCACATTGACTGCTGGAACCTCTTCTAACTTCTTGCTAACAAAGCCCTCCAGTATCATATGTGTGACTAGCAATGCTCTATTCAATTGTATTAGCCCAACTCTCTATTTACTACTGGCCTTCTGATTTCAGGGAGAAACAGATCCAGTCCAGTGTGGCCCTGACAGCCTGGCTGATAGCAGAACAAACCACCAGGCCAGCCCCAACTGGGGCGCTGGGTACTATGTTTATGCAGAGTTGTGGTGGGTCCCTTGGAAACGAGCCTAGTGGCAATTTGCTCTCTTTCAAACTCTAGTCTGGCATAGTCACAGTGGCCATGGCTTCGGGGTTACTATCTAACATAGAGACCTAAGTAGAACACCCTGGCAATGCCAAAGAATGCTCAAACTACTGCACAATTGCATTCATCTCACACACTAGGAAAGTAATGCTCAAAATTCTCCAAGCCAGGCTTCAGCAATACGTGAACTAGGAACTTCCAGATGTTCAAGCTGGATTTAGAAAAGGCAGAGGAACCAGAAATCAAATTGCCAACATCTGCTGGATCATCAAAAAAGCAAGGGAGTCCCAGAAAAACATCTACTTTTGCTTTATTGACTATGCCAAAGCCTTTGACTGTGTGGGTCACAATAAACTGTGGAAAATTATGAAAGAGATGGGAATACAGATCATCTGACCTGCCTCTTGAGAAATCTGTATGCAGGTCAGGAAACAACAGTTAGAACTGGACATGGAACAACAGACTGGTTCCAAATTGGCAAAAGAGTCCGTCAAGGCTGTATATTGTCACCCTGCTTATTTAACTTATATGCAGAATGCATCATGAGAAACGCTGGGCTGGATGAAGCACAAGCTGGAATCAAGACTGCCGGGAGAAACATCAATAACCTCAGACATGCAGATGACATCACCCTTATGGCAGAAAGTGAAGAACTAAAGAGCCTCTTGATAAAAATGAAAGAGGAGAGTGAAAAAGTTGGCTTAAACCTCAACATTCAGAAAACTAAGATAATGGCATCCGGTCTGATCCCTTCATGGCAATTAGATGGAGAAACAGTGGAAGCAGTGGCAGACTTTATTTTGGGGGGCTCCAAAATCACTGCAGATGGTGACAAAAGCCATGAAATTAAAAGATGCTTACTCCTTGGAAGAAATGCTATGACCAACCTAGACAGCATATTAAAAAGCAGAGACATCACTTTGCCAAAAAAGGTCCGTCTAGTCAAAGCTATGGCTTTTCCAGTGGTCATGTATGGATGTGAGAAATGGAGTATAAAGAAAGCTGAGAGCCAAAGAATTGATGCTTTTGAATTGTGGTGTTGGAGAAGACTCTTGAGAGTCCCCTAGACTAAAAGGATATCAAACCAGTCAGTCCTAAAGAAGATCAGTCCTGGGTGTTCATTGGAAGGACTGATGCTGAAGCTGAAACTCCAATACTTTGGCCACCTGATTCAAAGAGCTGACTCATTGGAAAAGACCCTGATGCTGGGAAAGATTGAGGGCAGGAGGAGAAGGGGATGACAGAGGATGAGATGGTTGGATGGCATCACCCACTCAACGGACATGAGTTTGAGTAAACTCCAGGAGTTGGTGATGGACAGGGAGGCCTGACGTGCTGCAGTCTATGGGGTTGCAAAGAGTCAGATATGACTGAGCAACGAACTGACTGAGAACACCCTGGAGCCTCCGTGATCCCATGGGCAGGTTTTGGCTGGGATCTCAGCACAGCAAGAAGAGCCAGATTCCTAATTACCCACTTATAAATGCTGGCCCAAATCTTGATATCATGATACTGATAGATCCCCTAACTGAATTTCAATTGACTCTGATTTTTAAGGGCTACTTCATTCATCACTATCCACAGGGAAAATAGAGGTGTGAGGTCTGATGCGCTGGAGCTAACTGACTTCAGAATTATAAATACCAAGAACCTTGAGGGATACAGCTGAGTTTTTTAGAATAAAGTTTAAACATTTACTCTGAGCAGCTAGAGCTTTGTTGCCTCTTTTTCTTGTGCACCCAAGGGCATATACCAAATAGCACTTAGTTTTATAGCCTTGGCTGAAACCAGGAAAGGGTGCTTTACTTGAAACAAACTTTCTTATTGTTTATGTATTTAACTGAGATTTGGGTGAGGGAATTTCCTGACTGTAGTCCCAGTCCCTGTATGATTTGATTCAACCCAAGAGTAGATACTGCTCTTGCCTCCAAAACTTTAACCACTGACAGCAAAATAAACCTCGCCATGTCTGCTTGCATATAAAAGA